TCTTTCCTGCCTATGCAGGGGGTCGGACTCGATGATCTATTGAGGTCCCTTCCGGCCCTAACATCTATGAATCTATGAAAGCTACAGGGGAAGGAGCTCTGGTCCAAGGAGGCTAAAGGCAACTGCCTGGCTGAGGGGAGAGGCCCTGAAACCTGCAAACTAGATGTCTACGGCCTACAGGGAAGTAAGGCCCAGTATGGGAGACAGTCTGGTGAGGGAAAGTCTGTACTGAGACCTAGCAAGGGGGATAGTTTTCTGTTGTAGCCAGAGGGCTTTTTGTGTGGTGTTGTCATGCAAATTGGTGGTTTGGAGGGACTGTGAAAGGTGTTTTTTGGAGGTCCCATTAAAGCCTTATGGGCCTGCTAGGGGCATGTTCAAGGCATAGTCACAGCACCCAGAGCCTGAGGAAGAGCAGAGCATGGGGGCCACAGGGACCAGAGCCCCTGTAGGGGCAGAGCTTGGGGCTAGGGCCTAGAAGCCAGGTCTAGAACAGTGGGCCTTGGTTGAGGGGCCAGCCAGAGTAGAGGCACAGAAGCCAGGAAGGCTGAAGCCCCAAAAAGAGAATGAAGGCTTAAGGTGGCTTGGTGACTTAGGGACAAATGTTCCACCTGACTGCTGACTCAAAACACCCATGAGGCATGGGGCATGGTATAGGGATGAATGGAGCTATGCAATAAGCCCTTAAGGCAAGCAAGGTCAAGAGAGTTGACCATTGGACAAGAGAGGGCACCCTCCCTTTCATGAAGTTTCCATCAAGACATGTCAGGCACGAAGGCAAGACAAGACCTTGAAAGACAGTGCAGAAAGAGAGCCTAGCAGGGATGAGGGGGCCTGTAGGTGGCATCACAATGGCCTTAAGCACCTAACATGTTACACTAAGGCTAAACTAAAAACTAGAGGTAATCTGTCTGCAGTGCATCAACTTCTTTAGGATGCTTAAGTCAACCACAATCCATGCTATATAATGTATATGTCTATTTTCTGCTGCTCTTGTTCTATGGCTCGAAATTAGCCTATAGATAGTTTGCTTCCTAGGGTTTCCCCAGGCTTGCATCAGTTGCCAGAGTCTAGAATTTAGAAATACTTTTTGAACTCAATACCTTTATACAGTCACTAAATCAATGCTATAACAGTCACATGAGAAAAAATTAGTATTATGTTATCTCAATTAAAATTTCTCAACATCCAAATTAGCACTGAAATAGTCTGCCAATTAAGAGCTTTTTTCATGTAACAAATATTTCTTAGCAAATGACTCACCCTCCTTCTTCAGAATATTTGTGACCAAATGCAAGGATGTCAGATGCCCGGCCACTGCCATCACATATCACAACAGGAACAGGTGGAGTGTCTCGTAGGTACTCCAAAACAATAGAGATGACATTGGGACCTCCTTCCACAATAAGTGCCACCACTGGAACTCCCTGTCCAATTCCTGGGTTGAAGAAAACAAACAAAACAAGCAAACAAACAAACAAACAAAAACAAAAAAAAGGAAAAAGAAAAAGAAAAAACGAACACAAATGCAAAGCCAGCAAACCAAACAAAACAACAGAAGAAAGAGAAAACCCAGCCTGAAATTACTTCATATTGACTGTATGCCGGCATATCAGAAGAAATGGTATTAAGACATTAATAGACAAAGACAAGAAAAAAGCATTGTGATCTTCTAGTTTGAACATCTATTATTTACTTTTATCTGGAATAATATTATACCACTGAATCATAAATTCAAAAAGGTAAGAATGATAATTCATTTTTCAAATAATAACTTAAAATAGGACTTCCTCCATTGTTGAAGTGGAAGCATAAATCGGATATATCTAGCAGTTTACACACTAAATTACAAGAATAATTGATGATTGAGTGTTTGTAAGGGAACAGAGTCATTTTATGAGTTTGACTAATTTTTTTGTTGCTATCAAGCAAAAAAGGGCATATTATTTTTAAATGACTTCTAGTTCAATAAAATTGAGTATGTACTATAATAATTGAGTCTTTCCTGCCCACATGCAGGGGCACTGGACCTGGTGATGTGGAAGGTCCCTTCCAGGCCCTAACATCTATGAAACTATTGCCAGATGAACATAAGGATGTTAACATTACCATTTTAGGATTCCACTTCTAGTCTCCTGGCTAATAAAGCTTGGCATTGCTCTATAAAGGCTACAATAACTGGTGTTGTCTTCTGGTAGTTTAGATGGTCTTCACAGACAATGGGCAATATTTTTGTATTCCTTTCTCTACAATTAGCTTCTCCAGAAAAGTAATTCCTTGATGGAAGCTACCTTTGTTTCATTCTTCCTTGCTCTTGAGGCAGATTACAAAGCAAATCAACATATGAACATTGTGCTGAAATCTTGCACCAAGATTCCTTTTCTTCAGTTTACCACTCTTTGCTAGGAACTTACCCCAATTATGGACAAAAGGTACCATATATATAATACTGCTAATACAGAGTAATATTCTTAAGAGGTGATTATCCCTATTGAAATCAGTCCCTGCAACTATGTACTACAACTGTAGAAGAACAATAGCTGTGCCAATTGTTTAAACGCTAGAGAAACATTTATTTGTGGTTTACAACATGAACAGAGTTTAAAAGGGAAGTAAATTACTTTGAACAGGCTGGTATGCATGAGAAAAATGCTTAGCTGATTTCTCTCAAAGGACATGGTCAATATAAGGTCAATTCATGATGGCATGATGCAGATTAGAAAAAAATTATTATAGCAGATCACAGTACCCTGGAACTATGCTTTCCCATATGATGACCTACTGAATCCATTTCATTTTTATCAAGTTATATACCCTAACATTGCTTAAAAATGATCATTTTGATAGTTTTGGTTTGCTGAGGAGGATATTTCTTTCTTAAACTTTTATTCTCAAAATTAAAAAACAAGAAAGATCATATTTTTTATTAAGGACAACCACAGAGAAATATATTAAACAAATGTTTCTCCGAACAAAAAGAAAAGTGAAAAAAGGGATCCATATACTTCAGGACTGCTGGTCTGCCCTTCATTATAATTCTGAAGAAAAGACCTAGCAGCTAGTGGAACAGATAAATAGCAGAATTGATTTGGGCGTTTAGTGAATGCGCATGTTTTCTAAGGCAAAGACAAGCACAAGATAACTTAAATGGAAGAGCCCAGAATGAGGAGGAACAATGAAGAAGCTGTAGAATGCAAGTTGTAATGAAGTGAGTGCCTGTTAGACCATATACAAATAACAAAGTACTCACTAATTGAGCCAGTGAAAAAGAAGACAAGCTTGTGACTTGAGATGATGGAGTTCAGATATGGTTTTGATGGAGCAGAGGAAAGAATACACATGAACAACTGAGAGTTTGAAGACAATCTTGGACAAGAGGACCTTGAGAGGGGAAGACCCCTAAACAAGGAGAATGACCTATAAAACATCTAAACACAAAAAAGAGACCAACTAGTGAAGAAGAAATGTTCAGTAAGTGTTTGTTACACCAGAAGATAAAGTGGAGAAACAGAAAGAAACAGAAGATGGGGTGGCAAGAAAGAAGAGAAGACCATGCAGCTTCAGAAGAGACGAGCCAATGGAAATAGCCAGGGACCAAATCCCAACCAAGGAGGAGGACAACATGGAAAAGAATGAGACAGAACAGGAATGAGAATTTTTTTCAGGGTGAAGAATGAACAGAAGAGTGGATCATCACACAACACCATGAGGAAGCATCAAATCTATGTGATATAGGACTGCTTGTTAAGAAGAAGGGACAGGATAACTCCATGGCTTAACAATGTGAGAAACTGTAAACAACAACTATGGAGGGATAACACGGGTAAAATCAAGGGGCACTTGTACACATGACAAAAATGTCATTTGTGTGGCTTACTGGCATCACACATTACACGTGTATCAGTTTTGGGGGTTTTAGAAGAGTATGCGTTTTTGAAAACTAAACTACATCCGGATGTAGTTTAGTTTGCAATGATGCATTGCAGCTATTAGTCTGCTCTCTACCTGGCCACAGAGGAGGTTGTCAGGCTCTGCAGAAAAAAGGGATCAGGCCCCTTGCTGCTTCAGCAGGTATCTGCTGAAGGCAGAAGTGGTGAGGGGCCTGATCCTTTTCTCTTCTTTTTTTTTGGTGGAGCTTGCCCGCCTCTCCTGTGGCCAGTGGGTGACCTGCCAGCAGGCTGAGTGGCCCCTTTGCTGTGGGGGGCCCTAGTCCTTCCCAGTGGCAGCACTCCCTCGAACCACCTGGGCAGGCTGCTAGTGGGCCGGGTGCTGCCTCAGCTCAGAGGCAGCACCTGGCCCAATCCAACTGTTCACCAAGCCCGCCTGCTGGAAGCCTGCCAGGCACTGCTCCCCAGGCAGGCTCAGGGAATAGTTGGATCAGGTCGAGTGCTGTCTCTAAGGCATCACTCAGCCAGTTAGCAACCCACACAGTTGGCCCTGTGGGGTGCTGCTGCGATGGAGGGAAGGACTGGAGCCCCTTGCAGCTCAGGGGCCACTTGGCCCATCAGCAGCTTACTCCTCTGGCTGCGGGTAGGCTCTGACTCCAACAACAACAACAACAACAACAAAAGGAATCGGTTCCTCGCTGTAATGTGACAGAAAAATTGAAATGGTGGGTTTCAATTAAAAACTCACAATTTCAATTTAGGGGCCATTGAAACAAACCCTCTGGATTAAACCCCAGTCACATGTAGAAGTGCCCAAGAACCTTAGTTGCTGATTTATATAAGGCAAAACCACTTTTGAGAAGGATGGTAAAAATAAATTACTGAGTTTGCTAGAACTGGGAGTTTGCTATAAATCCCCAGGATTGGGTTTGTATATGGATAGGGATATCCATCTTGTTATTACAGACCTAAATAATATGAGGTATTATATTATTATGGAAGACTAACTTTCCTGATATAAAATGGTGAACAAACACAATTAATGGTGGAAAGGATCTCATTTGTCACTTATTCCCTTCAGGAATATCTTCACTGAACAGAAGTGATATTATTTTAAAATTGGTTTGGATATGTCATGACGGTATTATAGATAAGCTGGTTAATGAAAATAATTTCTAAGCAAGTGACCACAAGTTAATTCAGTTTAGATGTAAAGGAAAGGCACAAAGGTCAACAAGTAAGGTTCTTGATTTCAGAAGTGGGAACTGATATTTTTAGCATTGTTCACCTAAAATAAAGGCCTCTTAATATAATAAAGGCCTTTTGACATAAGTAGCTTGACTCTTGCCCAGCAATGGGAGTTGTTTATATGAAATGCAGCTTTGCTAAATCAGGTTGAATTAAGAATACTAAGAAATTGGTCAAGAAGAGAAAAATTATGAATTGGTTAAGAACTGTTCTTAACTTAAGAATTGGTTAAGAACAGGAAAACAATATATGATCTTGAGCAGATAGGGACCCTCTAAGGCAGGGCAAACCATAGGAGAACTAGCTTTTGCTATAGAAATATGTGACATAAATACATGACCATAAAAATGTGTGTGCTAAGATAAGAAATGAAGATAGGTAAACATGATGGGTATAAAATTGGGAAGTAGCTTTAATTCATGGGTAGCCTGCTCTGAAGACCCTTGACATAGGTCCTCAGACCAAGAGAGAGTCTAACTTGCACAAGAAACTAGACATAAGAGCTGGGAACCCCTGAACAAGACCTCATGGACTGATCAACCGCTGATGTAGGGTGACCACCCATCTGTAAATGGGTGGGACAGTCCTGGAATGGGAATCTCAGGTCCCAGTCCTGGGCTGCATGACTATGGGACAGCATTTGTCCTGGATTCAGAGCATTGTGTGGAGAATCCACACGAAATGGTGGGTTTGCCTTTGCAGGTTGGCAGCATTTCAGCCTGCTTGGGGCTGCTGGGAGAGGGACGCAGGGGGCACCATGTACATGTACGCTCCTGCAAACATGAAAGTGGCTGAGAATACAGCCAGGCAGCATGAAGAGCAGCTCCCTACTGCTAAATCTATGGGAGGGAGGGGTGGGGACATACACGTGGAGGGCATACACAGGGAG